AACAATAGTTGTAAAGCTAAAGTTGCCCATTGTTGCCTTATTTAGTACCCTGGGGTGCAATTAATTACTTAATATGACTCCTTTAGCCTCGGTCTTTGTGGATCCCACTAGATGACTGAGCGAGATTGTGCAAATGTGAGGTGTTTGAGGCCCACCAAGGGGATTGGATAGCTTGCTAATCATATAAATAAGATAACCTGACACCCTCATGGGGATAGGACTGTGTAAATAAGGTGTATGGAAGCCTAATGTGATCAATTTTGCTATCTGCTAGACTTCAAATGAGTCATCCCAGAGGTGGAAAAGGGGAATCTCACTACCATCAAGAAAGAAGAGCCAAGAGTGGAGTGCATCCTCTGAACCCAAGATCCTTGCACTGACTCTCCTCCACCCAGGGGACAGAGAGAGAACTGTAACAATTTGTTGATATGGTGAGAGACAGCAAGATGCAACAGAAGACCTTGGCAGCAGAGACCAGCACAAGACAGAGCATTGGGCTTACTGGCCCATGGAGCAAGAAAGCTGAGGGCCTTTGGGCAGGGGCCATGCTGGTAGATGGGGGTGCCTCCCTGGGCACCTACTGGCAGAGCTAAAAGAGTTTGGTAACACTTGGCTAAGCAGGGCAGAGGCCAGGATGATAGGTTGAGGGCCAAAGAGAGGCATGCCTGCGGGCATGGCTGAGGGGAGGCTGTCCAGATCAAAGAATTATCCTGAGTATTCTTGAACCTGAATTGTAACCTGTTATTTTCCTAATAAACTCCATAATCGTGGGTACTCTCTGTGCCTTCTGTGTGGCCATTGCAACGTGCCTTCTGTGTGGCCATTGCAATGAATTACTGGACCCAGCAGAGAAGTATAGAGTGCTGTGGGTGGCACAGTTGGTATCAGAATTGGTAAAAAGGTGGGAGGCCAGTGCATGTCTGACTTGTGCTTCATAGGAATTAGCCTTGGGCTGTTGATGCTGATGGTGATTATCTTTCCGCTTCCTGAAGTTAGAGGAGGTCAGATGATGCTGCCCTCACCTCTTTCTTACATACCTGGACACTTGGCTCTGCAAAAGTAAACCACTATTACCAGTTTGGAACGTATACTTTTCCTGTGTTTTTTAATAGTGTCTGTACCTGTATCTATAGATAGAAATAGTTTGTTTGCAAAAATAACATCATAGGATAGTATTCTGCAACTTAAAAAAACATGTGTTGGTATCATTTCATTGTAGTCAAGTTATTTGTTTTAATGGCTGCATGGTATTCTGTAGTCTGAGTTTGTGATTTATTTAACCTGATTACAAACAGATATGTTTCTAGAATTTTTCTATTTTGCTATTATTACAATGGTGACTTTTATTCTTTTCAAGAATTTAAATATTTTATGAATTTTAACTATGTAAAACTAGTATGAGGAGCTCTGGTAGCATAGTGCCTAAGGCACTTGACTGCTAACCAGAAGGCTTGCAGTTCAAACCCAGCAGCCACTCCTCAGAAGGAAGGTTGGGCAATCTACTTCCGTAGGCATACTGCCTTGGCAACCCAAGGAGGGGTTGCTATGAGTCGGGTCTGACTCGATGGCACATAACAACAACAACAACAAAGCTAGTATGTTAAAGTACAAAAATTATTAAAATTAGCAGCATGACTTTTGCAGAACACCTCATGATTCCACAGTAGTGGTTCTGTAATTATCTGGAGAGAATCTTTATTCCTAAAAATGCTTGTACCTTAATTAACCTTTTTTGCATGAAGCATATTTGAGTTTTTTAAAATCTGTTTTTGTTTTTTTTTTCTGCAGAGATTTTAAGTTTCTTATTTTCTTTGGAACTTAATAATTAATGTTAATTAATAATGTTAATTTAGAATAAATAATCTATTAAAAATGGTAAATAGTATTTTATCTTGCAGAAAATCATCACCCATATGTTGGTCTTCCTGCCTCTTAATTTACTTGTCTTGATGTCATAGTACTGTAGCAATGCAAACATGGTATTTCAAGAATTATCCTGAGCATTCTTGAACCTGAATTATTTTGTTATTGAGGAGAAGTAATAATCACTATGTAGAATGTGGTAATGATGACCTTTTATAACAAATACTTTCAGTCAGAAGAATATCTTGTGCAATTCATTGTTAAGATTTTTATGTTGCATCTCATTTTCTTCTGATTCTTAGTAACTACTAATAACTTTATTTATGGTTTATATCTTTGCTATTTAAAATAAAAATTTCAGGACCTGATACCAGATCCTGAATCAATATTTGTTTAATGAATACATGAGAAAAATGTTTAGATATGTAAAGGTAAAATTTTTATCTCAGGATATTCTTGGATGTTACAGGTTTTTAAAAATAGTTTATTTTTTGTTGTTGGCAAAACATGTATATGATGTTTATATCTTTGCTATTTAAAATAAAAATTTAGTAAATTATAAAAGTTTTATAGTGTTTAGAAGTTATGAAACATCTGAAATAGGGCAATATAAATAAAGGTCAATCAAAAATTATGTATCACACAAAGGGATTGAGTTTGTCACTATAGATGAAGCTAAATTTTAGCTTTGAGCATTCTTATATGTAAGTCAAAGAATGAAACCCAGCATATTTTTACATAGTTCATCTCAGGAGAAATTACTGTTCCATTTTATTTTGGCAGACTTGAAAAGATATCAAAATTGTTTTATATTAAAAAATTTATGGAAGCCCAATTTGGTATAAGAACTCAAGGAAATGTTTATAGTTTTAAGATACTCTGTCACTGTATTTGTACATTTCTTACCTGGCGATACCTAATAAACAGTAAGTGCTACATAGTAAATTTAACACTTTAGTCTTTGTTATTTTTCATTCAGTTTCCCCCACATGGCTGCCATTCTTGTAGGAGATATTTCTAATATTTTCAATTTTCAAAAGCCTAAGAACAGATTTTTTAAAAATGAACACACTTAATTTTAGTTTGAGACTATAAATGATAAGTAACAAACATTTATAGAGCCTTTTTCACATATGTAATTATCTAATCTTGGGTTTCTGAGGCGGTATCACTAAGGAAGTAGATTCCCCAACCCTCCTTCCTAGGAGTGGCTAGTGAGTTTGAACCTCCAGCCTTCTGGTTAGCAGTCAAATGCCTTAGGTACTATGCCACCAGAGCTCCTTCATAACAACTCTGCAAAAGTAGTATTAACCCCTTTTTTTTTTTCAGACAAGAAACTAGGACCTAGAGATATTAAATAACTCAAAGATGTTCTTTAAATGTCTTTATTTCATTACAAATGTTTACCATAGGCCAGGCGATGAGCTCTGGTTGCACTCTGGTTAAAGCATTGGGCTGCTAACCAAGAGGTCAGTGGTTTGCACCCACCAGCTGCTTCTCAGGAGAAAGATGGAGCAGTCCACTTCTGTAAAGATTTACAGTCTTAGAAACCCATAGGGCAGTTCTACTCTGTCTCACAGAGTCACTACGAATCAGAATTAAATCAATGCCAGTGGATTTGGATGTGTCAGGTACTGTTTTAGGCTCTTCAGTTTCATCAGTGAACAAAAGAAAGACCCTTGTTCACAGGAGTTTATATTCTAGTCAAGGGAGACAAAAGCAGGAAACATAACTATATAAATTATTTAGTGTATCAGAAGGCCATATATTCTACAGGAAAAGAAGGTGGATAGGTGGAATAGATTGTAATATTGGCCAAGACAACAAAGAGAACAAAAGCCTGAAGACCTAAACATGCTGACATAATTGAGGAATAATAAGGAAAGATAGCATGCCTGAGAGGAGGAGAGTAGAAGGAAATGAGATCAGGGATAGCAGAGGAACACACATTGTGTAGGGTATTTTAAGTCCATGTTAGGATTTAGACTTCTGCTCTGAGTGAAATGGGAAGTCTTTGCAGGGTTTTGAATGTTTTAAGGGTCATCATTGTTGTGTTGAGAATAGGTAGTGGAGATGGACAAGGTAGAAAACAAAAAGACCTGTTAGGTTATTGCAGTAATCTAAGGGAGAGGCATATCTGGATAAAAGGTTGGTTTTCAGAGACAACTCTGGTCAGTTTAGTGATACTGGAGTGGTGAGGAATGGTTGGACTTTAGGTATATTTTGAAGATAGAAACAGTAGAAATTGCTAACAGAGTGAAAGGGAAATGTAAAAGAGAGGAGTCAAGAATGACTCCAGAGTTTCTTAGCCTGGGCATCTAGAAGGATGGGATTGCCATCAACTGAGCTGAGAATGCTTGCAGGGTAGAGTAAGTTTATGAGTATGATTGAGAGTTTTGTGTATGTTAAGTTTGGAGTGTCTTTTAGATACACATGAGAAGTTGTTTAGAGTTTAGCAGTGAAGTCTGGTCTACTGGTATAAATTTGAGAATAGTTGGTTTATAGATGATATTTAAAGCTATAAAATTATAGATCAGAGAAAAAGGGAAACAAGAACTAGTCCCAGGACATTCCAACATTAAGAGATTAGAAACAAAAAGAATCTTCACAGGAGACTGAGCAGTTAGGTTGGACAAAAACCTAGACAGTGTAATCTGGGAACTCAAGAGAAGTAAACCACAGAGGAGGGAATGATCAACTCTGTCAGATTTTGCTGATAGTTTAGGTAGGATGAACACTAGAATTGACAACACAGTTGTATTTAGCAGTATGAGAGCTATTGGTTATTGTGGGGTTTTCAGCAGGACATGAAAATGACTTGGTTAATATTATTTACATATTTTTAATTTTTATTTTTTTAATTTCATTGTGATTTGGGTGAAACTTGACAGATCAAAATCATCTTCTATACGCAGTTCACATACATTGTCTTATGACATTAACTGTAATCTCCCACAATGCAACAGCTCTTTTCCCACTTCTTCCTCATAGCTATCTCTTCCTTGTGTCCTTCCCTCCCATGTATTCCAGCCCCCTGAGCTGTCTTCCTGTGTATTTACATGCTTTTTAAAATGGGCTTTTTTTGAGCTTTACAGTGTTTCCTTTGCCATGTTTAGGTTTGACGTCCTATTGGTGGTATGTCTGACAGTGGATCACAACTTGGTTCAATGGGTAGCCTGACCATGAAATCACAACTTCAGATCACTGGTAAGTCTTAGAAAGGATCCACTACTCTTTTTTCCCCCCTCCTAAGTTAAAAATTACATATCAGGTCCTGAATCAATATTTGTTTAATAAATACATGAACAAAATGTTTAGATGTGTAAAGATAAAATTTTTATCTCAGAATATTCTTGGATGTTACAGGTTTTTAAAAATAGTTTATTTTTTGTTGTTGACAGAATGTATATGTACTAATTCCACAGTTTCTACATGTAAAATTTAGTGACATTGATTACATTCTTCAAGTTGTGCAACTGTTCTAACCCTCCTTTTCTGAGTCATTCATCCTCCCTAATATAAACTCACTGCCCCCTAAGGTTCCTATCTAATCTTTGAAGTTATTGTTGCCAGTTTGATTCTATATAGATAGACTTTAAAGAGCACAGTGCTCAAGGCAGACATTCTTTACTAGTTAAACTGTTGTTTGATTTTAAGAAAACTTGAGGGAACATTTTTGGTTTTAGGTCTAAAGGTTATCTTGGGACATTAATTTCAGGCATTATCCAGCCTTCGTGGTTCCAGAAAGTCTGGATTCCGTAAGAGTTTGAAATTCTGTCCTGTATTTTCTTCCTTTTGATCAGAATTCTTCTGTAGAATCTTTGACCAAAATGTTTAGTAGCTGAGGCAGCCCCTCTTGCCCCCCCACAATGGGCATGTGAGCAAACTACTATTGTTTTTTGTTTGGATTGTTTTTTATTAACAGCATTATTGAGATATAATTCACATGACATACAATTTACCCGTTTAAACTGTCAGTAGTTTTTAGTGTATTCACAGAGTTGTATAATAGTCACCACAGTCAATCTTAGAACATTTTCATCACTTGGAAAAGAAACCCATACCCTTTAGCAGTGACTCCCCATTTTCTCCAGCTCTCCCAGTCTTAGGTAACAACTAGTCTACTTTCTGTGTCTTTAGATTAGCCTGTTTCGGACATTTCATATAAATGGAATGAATAACAGGTGCCTAGGTGGCCTTTTGTGTCTGGCTTCTTTAATTTAGCATAATGTTTTCAAGTTTCATTCATGTTGTAGTGTGTGTCAGTGCTTTTTTATTGCCAAATGATATTTTGTTATGAATTATACTACATTTTAGTGATGTATTCATTAGTTGATGATATAGGCTGTTTCCATTTTTTTACTATTATGGATAATGTTGCTATGAGCATTTGGATAGAGGTTTTTGTGGTATATATTATATTTTCAGTTCTTTTAGATATATTTGGGAGCTCTGGTAGCATAGTGCCAAAGGCATTTGACTGCTAACCAGAAGGCTGGCTGTTCAAATCCTTCCGAGCCACTCCTCGGAAGGAAGATTGGGCAATCTACTTCCATAGTGATAACCGCCTCGGAAATCCAAGGAGGGGTTGTTATGAGTCAGATACAGCAGTGAGGTTTTTTTTTTTTGTTTGTTTGTTTGTTTGTTAGGTATATACATACCTAGTAGTAGAATTGCTGAGTCATATCTGACTCTATGGCAGTGAGTTTGGTTTTTTTGGTGAGTAGGTATCCATGTTTAACTTTTTTTATTTTTTTTAGGATTTTATTGTACTTTAGGTAAGTTTACCTAGCATATTAGTTTTCCAGTCAATCGTTCATACATTGATTTTTCTATGACATTGGTTGTAATCCCTGCAATGTGTCAGTACTCTCCCTATTTCCTCCCTGGGTTCTCTATTTCTATTAGTCTGATTTCTCTGTCCCTCCCTGTCTTTTCATCTTTGGTTTTGGGCATATATTATTCCCTTTTGGGTCTCATATTCTTGGTTGTTCTAAGGAGAACATTCTTAATGGATGTTATTATTTGTTTTGTAGTTCTATCTATTTGTCTGAAAGGTGGCCTCCAGGAGTATCTTCAGTTTGAAATTATAAAGTTGCCTCCGGGCAATAATCTCGAGGATTCCTCTTTTCTCTTTCAGATCGATAAATCTGGTCTTTTTTTTTCTTTTTTTTTAAACTCGAGGTTTTTACCCATTCTAACTGGGGCCTTCTGTTGTTGTCTTGGTCAGAGGTTGGTAGTAGAAGCTGGGCACCACCTAGTTCTTCTGGTCTCAAGTTAGGGGAGGCTTTGGTTCATGTGGGTCCTTAGTCCTTTGGACTAACTACTTTCTAGAGTCTTTGTTTTTTTCATTCTCCTTCGCTCCAAGTGGGAAGAGACTAATAGTTGCTTCTTACATGGCTGCCCTGTTTAAAGTATTCCAAACTGTTTTTCAAAGCAGCTGTACCATTTTACAGTCCCAACAGAATTGTATGAGGGCTCCAATTTCTCCACATCCTTGTCAGCGTATTTTGTTACCCTTCTTTTTTATTATAGCCATCCTGATAAGAATGAACTGGTATCTCATTGTGGTTTTGATTTGAATTTACCTGGTGGCTAGTGATGTTGAGATTCTTTTCATAAGACTATTGGCCAAAATCTTTTGCCTACTCTTTTTTTCTTAACTTTTGTCTGTCTTTATTTGCTTCTTTCTTTAAGGTGCTATATATTGCTGCCAGATTAATGTTCCTAATATGCTACTCAAAAGAAAAACCAAACCCACTGCCATTGAGTCGATTCTAACCCATAGCAACCCCCATTGGGTTTCCAAGGTGGTAAATCTTCACAGAAGTAGATTGCCCCATCTTCCTTCTATGGAGTGGCTGGTGAGTTTGAACTGACAGCCTTCTGGTTAGCAGTCTTAGGCCCTGTGCCACCAGAGCTCCTTAATATGCTGCTGTATGTTGCATTTCTGTTCAGAGACCTTCAGCACTGCTTCTCCTTGCTTATGGTAAAGAATTTCTTTAGCCTAGGCTAAAACTTTTGAGTTTTATGGTCCATATGGTCTCTTTCTAGGTCTGTGTAAAATATGAACATTTGCATTGGCCAGCTAAGTCACTGGATTTTCTTCAGACATGCTTGATACTTCATTGTCCCCTTTTGCATGGAAACCCCAGTCTTCCTTGGCATTTTAGTAGCATTTATAGATAAACAGTAATCATCCTTTTTGTGATATTTTAGTTTCTTCTATACCTGCCTTTGAGTCTGGGTGGTGAAAGTGGTTAATGGTTAATGGTTTGCCTGTTGACCTAACCAGAGATTGGAAGTTCAAGTCTACTTACAAGTGCCTTGGAAGAAAAGCGTAGTGGTCTACTTCTGAAAAATCAGCCATTGAAAACCCTGTGGAGCACACAGGGGGTCGTCTTGAGTGGGAATTGACTCAGTGACAACTGAATTTTATACCTGATTTATATACTCAACTGGATTATGAGTTTATTAGGCCAGGGACCGTATCTTTTCATTATTATCCCTTCAAAACCTAAAAGTGGTAAGTTATATAAAAGTGTAAGTGGTCCCTGATTTACAGTGTATTTGAGTTATGATGAACCACATGCACAGTGGTCCTTTTGTCATTTATTTTTTCTGGTATGTCTTATTGTTAGTACATCTTCCTGGAAGGAACTTAATGGGAAACTGCATGCAGGGAATATGGAAAAAATTGCTGAGTTATGTGGATACACTTCAAGCATTAGATCAGGATGATATGATGGAAGAGATCAGTGGAAAAATTGTTCATATGACAAGGATGCAGAATTTAGAACTTGATATCACCCATATTGAACACATGGAGAGGGATGTCATGCTTGGTAGGGTGGAGGGTCGACGAAAGAGGGGGAGGCCTTCAACGAGATGGATTGATATGGTGGCTGTGATGATGGGATCAAGTATAGCAGGGATTGTGGGGCTGGCGCGGGATCGGGCAGTGTTTCATTCTGCTGTGCATGGGGTCGCTATGAGTCGGAAACGACTCGATGGCACTTAACAACAACAACAACATATTGAACAAAAAAGAAGAATTGGCAGATCAGGAATTAATGAGTTTTGAAGAGGAAAGAAATAATGAGAAAGAGGAAAGAGGGAAGTTGTCCAATTTTTTTAATAGTAAAAGATTTAGCTGAAGTTTTTTCTAAACTAAATCAGGAGCTTCAGTTGCTTGAAAACATGGACCCAAATGCTGATTGGTTTGCTAAAGTCATTTGGCATATTTGAGAAGCGATGAGATGTTGCTGTGAAATATATGAAGAAAAAAAGAAAAGGACCATGCAGACAGCTCTCACTAACTTTCTGACTAGATATGCCATCCTCATTCCCAGGGATAACCCATATCATCCAGAACCTTCACAAATGGAGTTACTATCTCAACTGGGAAAGTGCTTAACATCATCTAACGCTTTTTCCTTGTTTGAGTAAATTTTATCATTTGTATATTTTTGTATGTATGTATTAGAATATATCTATACGTTTATATGTAATATTTCCAACCCCAAAAAAACAAATATTGGATTTATATAGATTCTGATAATAAAAGGCAGTAATAATGAAGAGAAATACTTCTATCAGAACCGAGTTAGGATGGAGTCATTGAAACAGAACCCTGTTGTAAGTTAGGGACTAGCTGTAATCCTTTTTTAAGGTGATAGCATGTGAGAATTTATTCTTGGCAATTACTTCATTAAACTTTAGCAATGTCTAGTTCTCAATGAAAGGTATGAGTGTTTCTTTGCTAATGCCAGATTGTACTTTTTCTCCTCCAGGCTCCCCCAGTCAAGCTATCCTAAGTAACTGATTTCAATTGGGCCAGGCTTCTTAGAAGTTTTTTTTTTTAACCTTAAAGCCTTTGATTGAAACAATCTTTTAAAAAAATCCTTTTTTAGATGATCTAAATAATATACATGCTTTCTATTTAAACAGAAAATCAGTAAAATAATACTGTTTATCATCTTATTCATCAGAGATAATTATTATTAATAGTCTGGTTCTGTATTCCTTTAGATATTTTTCTCCCTAAACTGACTTTTATTTATTTGCCATCATATTATCATAGTAAAAAAATAAAATTTAAAAAATGCTTGATTGCACATTAAGATGGCATAATTCTTAGCCACTCCAGAGTTCATAGTCTTGGGCCTAAAAATTCTAAGAGTGTACAACTGTAGGGCACAAACAATTTAATGAAAACATACATATGAATAAAGGATAAAATGTTACATTTTAGCAAATATATCATTAGATATGAAACAAATGGACAGCATAGGGTGGTACACAGTTAAGTGCCAAGTTGTATAAAATCAAGTGTCCTTCATAATTTGTTGAGTTTACTTTGCTTTTTTTTTTTTTTTTACACTGCCAATAGCTAGATGCATTTATTT